TACTGAGTACCAGGCCGTCAGCACCACAGTGAGTCTGTCTTCCCACCACTGGCCCCCCTCCTAAAGCTGGTGTCATTCCAGGGCTCTGCTTTCCAAGGCAGTGCCCAACCATTTTTCTCTCAGAAAAATCACTGAACAGGTAAAGGGGAGGTGGTTTGTAGAGAGATCACTGCACTAGAGTCTACTGACATGTTTTACCAAGGTTACCCTACTTCCCAAACAACCCTTAGAAGAACAATGTTATTATCCCCACTGCGCAGCTCAGGTAAAAATGAAGTAGAAAGGGCCCAAAAGCAGGGATCCAGGCTTCTGACAGAGATGAGCTTGGCTCCAAAGCTAGTGTTCTTTCTGCTCTAACACGCTGCTCCCTACAGTCTTCTACTTGATGACAGTGTACCCTGATTGCAGGAAATCTGCTGGGAGAAGAGGGAGAATGGTCTCCTGGGATGCAGATTTGAAAATCTATAAATAGTGAATATCGTCACCTGCTTTCCATCTGTATAGGTGTAATAGAGAGCTGCCTCAGAGACTGTCTTAACAGAAGGATCCCCTCCCAATCAACCATCTCCACCACTCCCACCCTCCAACTCCCCCTCCCCCACAAAAAACAGGCTGCTTCTGCACCATCAAGGGCATCTGTACTGTGGTGGTGATTGAAATAATCCTGAATCTGGTAAACTACAAGTAAGATTTGCTAAATTCCACTGCCACGGCCTTATCTGAAATGTTCCCTAATACCATTCCTTCCTTCTACAGTCTACACAGGAAGGTGGGCAAGGGAGGAGCAGAAAAAAAAGGACTGACTTCCCACTTCCCCACTTTGACTACCAAAGTCAAGTGCCTGGAATTTTTCCAAAGGCTCTGAGGCTGAGCAGTGGATGTGGTTCCTTAAGGAATGGATGAGCTATTGCTGTCTTTTATTTAGGTCTTTTCTTTTCTTTTTTTTTAAAAGATTTTATTTATTTATTTGACAGAGAGATCACAAGCAGGCAGAGAGGCAGGCAGAGAGAGAGGAGGAAGCAGGCTCCCTGCTGAGCAGAGAGCCCGATGCGGGGCTCGATCCCAGGACTCTGAGATCATGACCTGAGCTGAAGGGAATATGACCTGAGCCGAAGGCAGCGGCTTAACCCACTGAGCCACCCAGGCGCCCCTATTTAGGTCTTTTCAAGCGTTGTTCTTTATCAGACCTGGCATCGGTCTGCATTGATGAGAATGACACACACCACCGTAAAAGCTGTAGCTTCTTGAACCTCTGGTCTGAACCACAACACTTTCATACCTAACGTTCTTGCTGTCAGTCTTCCCTCCGTCCCACTAGCCATCTTGCAACTCGGTGACAGATCAATCCTTCTAAAGTACTGATTTAACTTCATCACTTTCTCCCTCAATGCCTATGCCTTTTTTTAACTGCCATTATTTTAAAAAAGATTTTTATTTACTTATTTGACAGAGGGAAGAGATCAAGTAGGCAGAGAGGCAGGGAAAGAGAGAGGGGGAAGCAGGCTCCCCGCTGAGCAGAAAGCCAGATCTCAGGACCCGGAGATCATGACCTGAGCTGAAGGCAGAGGCTTAACCCACTGGGCCACCCAGGCGCCCCTTAACTGCCATTTTTACTATGTACATTTATATTAATTGGCATGGTTTGGCTTATATAATATGATATTTCTCATAAAAAAGCAGTTTACAAAGTTGTAAGTAGGATATAATCTCATTTCTGTTCTTAGATACAGCTACATTTGCATAGTAAAATACCAGAAAAAAACCCATATTCAAATGGAAATAGTGCTTATGCATGTGTAATAGACTTTTAAGGGTTTCTAGTGATTTTTTTCTTTCCCAAAAACCTTTGCTTGATCATTCCAGATCTTCACAACCTGTCAAGTGACTGCGTACCTTTTCAGTCATTGCTCTCGATACTCTGCAGAGCCACCTCCCTCACTCAGATTGGGAGAGACAGTAACTTACTTTGCACTCCCTCCCCTGCCCCCAAAATGTCCAGAGTACCCTGCTTGTCAAAATCCTGTCCAGCCTCTCAGGCCTGGTTTAAATCTTCCCCCATGATCCTCCCCAATGAGTTAGAAGGAGGCATAAGACTTTGCATGAGAGTTCTTTTTTCATATGGGTGTTTATGGTCAGTGACGCTCTATACACCCTGAATGACGTTCATACCCCTGAGAAAGGCAGATGGGGTGGGGGCAGAAAGGCTGCCTGAGCCTTCAGTTCATTTAGATGCAAGGAGGAGAAGGTATTCAGAACGAAGGAATGAGAGAATAGTCAGGGGAGTAAATTCCCTTGAAGACCGCTCAAGGTGAGGGCAAGCAGGGACAAGGATGGGTGGAGGGATAATAAAAATATGTATGGGTTGCACTTTATATATATATATATATACACACACACACATATATATACACACACACACATATATATAAAGTGTATATATATATAAAGTATATATATATATACTTTAAAAAATATATATATATACACATAATATATATATACACATATATATATATATTTTTTTTTTAAGTAGTCTCTACACTCAATGTGGGACTTGAACTCACAAACATGAGATCAAGAGTTGCATGTTCTACCAACTGAACCAGACAGGTGCCCCTCTTTTTTTTTTTCTTAAATCATTTTTTATCTATAAGAGGAAAAAAAAATTGGGCTCCAAGGGAAAAAAAAATCAATTTTGATCGACTAAAAAGTGTCAATGAAGGAAACTGACTTGCATTCTCATCACTAAAATGGTATATATTTCTTTTTTTTTTTTTTTAAGATTTTATTTATTTATTTGACAGAGAGAGATCACAAGTAGGCAGAGAGGGAGAGGGAGAAGCAGGCTCCCTGCTGAATAGACAGCCCGATGCGGGGCTCGATCCCAGGACCCTGAGATCATGACCTGAGCCGAAGGCAGAGGCTTAACCCACTGAGCCACCCAGGCGCCCAGGCGCCCCTAAAATGGTATATATTTCAAGCATAGCAATACAAAGGCAAATTTCTTTATTTTCACCTTAACTTATGTTGACACTTGGCAGCCACATGAGATCTATGGGTCAGGGCTGCCCATCGCTGGTATAACCTCAAAACCAGAGTCTAGGGACGAACTGCCTGAGAGACTGTGCCCTGAGAAGCTCTATAAAGGCGAATATCGGGACTCTCCTCTGGCCTCAAACCACCTGAGGCCTTGTTTTAGCTGAGATCCTTCTATGTTAACACAGCAGATTCCCTGGAGTCCTAGGACTCCGTTATTTTCTTCTCTCATCAACCAGCCTCCCTTGAGGTAAAGTACTGTGTCTTACACTCTTTTTGTCCTCTTCTGATGAGGGCCCCACACGATGCCTTTTGTGGGTCATCAAGAAATTCCTGTTTATGATGAGAGTGATAAAGAAATAGCTTGATAAAAAGTGACTTCACCCATGTGTGTTGAATTTTTATTTTCTTTAAAAGAGCACATCTACTTAGTGGAAGTCTAACTCAAGGAATGTTCTGTGTTGCACAGCCCTAGAACCCAGGGTTCCTGCTCCCTTCCCTCATGCACCCTGCTGGAGTCTCTCAATAGTCCCACCTGTTACAGGTGTGGCCCCACACATAGGCATGTGCCTGCTTGTGCTTGGCTCTCAAAGGCATCGCTTACGTAAAATATATCTTAAAAGATTTCTCCCACCAACTCAAGTAGTGACCCAAATTTTCACCTTTACTTAATTTTTTGCATTAAGTTACCAGAGAAGAAAAATCTATTGTTTGTTATCATCTAATGACATCTTAGTTCTGATTAGTTTGTCTACCACGCCTCCCATTGCCCTGAACTCCCACAACATTTAGGATATACTAATTTAGTATTATATGCTAATTTAGTATATACAACATTTAGTTTATCATCGCACCCACCACAGTGTATTGGAATGATCTCTTTTCCTGTTTGTCCAAGCCACCATGAGCTCCTCCAGGCTATCTATGGCAACTGGTACAGTGTCAGCCTGGCACATAGTAGGCCCTCAAAGATACTGTTGAACCAAACATAAGCAACCCATTGCCTAGGCAAGCCCTGGAGGGTTAAAAAAAAAAAAAAGAGTCTAAAAAAAACGAGTCAAGGAATGTAGTAATTGCAGAAAGGAAATGTTTCATCAAAAATGAACCACTTGATTGGCTTCTGCAAGGGGCGAGAGGCCTAGCAGAGACAATCTTGCTCCTGTCACAATTTGGTTAACCTTGACCAGTGGTTTACCTTTGAAGATGGGTACGCTCTGCCTCTACTATGATGAAGAGAATTTTCCTCAGTGAGTCAAAGTAGGTGAGGGACAGACTCAACCCTCACCTCATATTCCAGTGTTTCCCACACCAAAGAGCTTGAGCTTGCTTCCTGAGGATAGGGTTTGCATCATACATATTTCTTGTGTTCTTCAGAGTCTAACATAGAGTCTGATGCATATAGAAACTGAACTATAATAGCTAACAAAAGGTATAGTGCTTGCCATATATATACCAGACACATTCCTCTAAGCATTTTATATGTGTGAATTCATTTAATCCTCACACCTGTGAGGCAGATACTATTATAATCTCCATTTTACAGATGGGCAAACCGAAGCACACAGGAATTTATGTGACTTGCCTAAGGTCACATAGCTCTAGGGTCCATGACTAAATACTTTGCCTTAGTACATTTAAATGGGACTGAATGAATACAACTCTCTCTGCACCATACTTTTAAAGCAGATTGTTTCATCTCCTGGGACAACATTTAAAGCATGGTCTCCCTCACCAGACTGTTACTAGCTCAGGGTCATTCTTTGCCCCTTGTCCACCGTCAGTTCCTGGAGAGTCACTACTTGCCACCCCATAGCAAGACTACCGCGCGCGCCCGTGGCCACCAGGGGGCACGATGGCCACACGTCTGTTACCCCTCCCTCTGATCCTGCGAGACCCGAGGAGGGCGGAGCCAGCGTTGGGCGGGGCCGGCCAGACCTCCCCCACTTCCCTCCCCCCCCGCCCCTCGGGAAGCTATCCCGGCGGGCTCCGCGCGCGGCTGCGTTTGAATGGCTCGCAGTGGGGCTCAAACCGGGAGCCGAGGGATCTTCTGGGCTACCGAGCGCAGTTGGTTAGTGCCGGGGCTGGGCTGAGGCTCCGCGCTACCATGAGGTGCCGGTAAGTGACGGCCGGGCTCCTGCAAGCCCGGCTCCCGCAGCTGCCCTGCGGAGGCCGTGCGTCTCCTCGCGCCCGGACGCGCCCTGGGCCCACCTGAGGCCCCACTGCGGCCTCCGCTCGTCGGAGCCCGGCAGCCGGGCTGCGGGGTCAGGGGCGGGGCGGCGAGGCGGTGGCCTCGGAGCTGGAGCCCCTGCCCGGCTGCGGCGTGGAGCATCCGGGCGGCGGGGGTCCGGGTCGGGAGAGGCGTGGACGCGGCCAGCTGTCACTTAATTTATCTGCGGGTGGGGCCGACTTTCTGCACGCCGGGAAGGGGAAGGACGGAACGCGTCTGCGGCGATCTGTTTAAGGACCTGTTTTCCCGAGCCGCCTAGGCCGGGCCTTGGTATTTCCTTATTTTCTGCTGGGTCGTCGGTTCCCTGACAGATAAGCTTTTGTTTAGCAGGACAAAAACTTGACATAACTGCATAAGAATTGCTGACTGCAACTTTAAAAACCTCATTGTATTTTCTGAAAAGTTGTTCTGTAACAGTACCTAGGCTTTTACCACGCTTTTAAATTGGCTTAAATATGGAGATAACAAAGAGTTCAGTTGTTTTCTTGGGGCTTGTAAAGTTCCTTGAAAACAGAGGTGTCTATGTCAGTTTCTTTACAGATTAAAAGAAAAAAAAAACTGGAACAAATATTAGTTGTGTAGTAATCAGTTTAGCACTAGCAAAAATTCTGAGAACCTAGACGACCTAATAGCTTAAACTTGTGTCAGTGGTTTATTCTGTTTTGTTTGAACGTGCTTCAGACTTGAATCAGAACGTTACACATTGAGGCTTTTACTTGGCTAATAGCTAGCATTGTAATAATAGCAATGGTAAATATTTCTTTTGGGACTTATATATGCTAAGCACTGTTTGAGAGCTTTGCTTTGGGACGGATACTATTATCCCCTTTTGGACAAGGAGGAAACTGAGACACAGAGAAGTTGAGTAACTCGTACAAGGATACACAGCTAATATATTTGGGACTCAAGCAGGCTGGCTTCATGCTTTTAACTATGCTTCATTTTTTTAAAGATTATTTATTTATTTATTTGACAGACAGAGATCACAAGTAGGCAGAGAGGCAGGTAGAGAGAGAGGGAGGTAACAGGCGCCCTGCTGAGCAGAGAGCCGGATGTGGGGCTCCATCCCAGGACCCTGAGATCATGACCTGAGCTGAAGGCAGAGGCTTAACCCACTGAGCCACCCAGGTGCCCCTTAACTATGCTTCTTTAACTGCATTCTTTACATGTGTGTCTTTTTAGTTTACAGAGCTCTTTATTTACTTCTTCAACTGGGAATATAATATATGTGAAGTGTGTTTCTGTATATATACATTCACACACTATTAAATTCAGTTCTCTGCTCTTGTTGACCATACTTAAGTTTTGTGCACTGAGCAGAAATTCTGCTGGATATTTTAAGATAAATGGAGTTCATAAAGTTCATGTTTGTGTTGTAGTTTTAATTCCTTTGTATCATTTCTTCAAAGTGTAGAGAACAGTTTGAAACCTATATATTCCTTAAAATATACCATTATATATTGTTTTTGTTCTAAGTCTGTTTCACTATTGAGTGGTTACTCTGTACTTGGAATAATTATACTTCTAGCTCCATGACAAGAAATAAAGGTTCAAAGCAAAATCATATCATAAGAAATCAGCAGTTTACAGTGATTTATAGCTGAGCATTTAAATTTCATTCATCAGTTATCAAACTTTTGATTGTCTCTATGCCCAGAAGTGTTAGGTGCAATTGTTTTTTTTTTTTTTATATATATAAAGATTTCATTCATTTATTTGACAGAGAGATCACAAGTAGGCAGAGAGGCAGGCAGAGAGAGAGATGGGGAAGCAGGCTCCCTACCAAGCAGAGAGCCTGATGTGGAGCTCGATCCCAGGACCCTGGGACCATGACCTGAGCCGAAGGCAGAGGCTTGAATCCACTGAGCCACCCAGGCGTTCCCAGGTGCAATTGTTTATGCAAGAGAAATGTGCTAGGGCAACAGACCTTAGTTTGGGATATGAGATTAACAACAGCAATATAAAATACTGTTGTTTAATGCAGAGGGTATATGGGCTGAACAGTAATGCTTCTGCAAAGAACAACTAAAGGATGGATGTAGGGCATTGAATAGAAGCATGAATGAGGAATTTTAGTGAGGAAACAGTGTGTTCAGAGACTTGGGAGTGAAATGAAATGATTTTTCTAGGGAACAGTGGACCTGATCTATTTGGAAAGTTCCTTTTGAGAAAAATGAGATTATTTGGGTAGGACTGAGAATAAGTATAATTGTATATGACACATATGGGAAAGAAGTTTAGGTTTGACATATGTGTATATACACAGATGGTTTTGCAAGTTTAAAACTTTTAAATCAGTGGCTCTCAACTGGGGACGACACTTTTTGTCCCTCAAGGGACATGTGGCGGTGTCATGACTAGAATTGGGGGAGGTGCTTCTAGCATCTAGCGGATAGAGGCCAGGAAAGCTGCTGCTAAACATCTTGCGATGAGACAGCCCCTCCTTGAGAAATAATTACCTCAAATGTCAGTGGTAGTAAGGTTGAGAAATCCTGTTGTGAGTTGATTGTTTCTATGGCCAGCCTCTGCTTCCATGTGTTTTATTTAAGTATGAATGATGAATGTTAGGAGCATGAGTACAAGTAATGTTAAAGCTGGGGGAAGCTGGCTCAGAAACCTCAAGACGGTGGCTGTTTTTGGAGTCCTGGGAGGAGGGGAGACTAAGGAAATAGGATGAGGGCAGTGAGAATGACATGTAATGGTAAAATGAGACAATTATTTAAATAACATTTTTTTCTGAGTTGAAAATAATGCATGTTCATTGTAGGAAATTTTGGAAATGTAGAGAGTGTGAAAAAATTTAAAAGCACTTATAACCTCCCACCCCCACCCCGAGCAGAAAAAAACAACTGTTTTAACATTTTCATGTGGTGGTTTTTTTCAAAAATTTTTTATGCTGATAATTATTTTCCTTTCTGTAAAACTAGGATTATACATTTTTCCCCTATGGGTTTGTATTGTTCTGCCTTTTTTTTTTTTTAAGATTTAATTTATTTATTTGACAGACAGAGATCACTAGTAGGCAGAGAGGCAGGCAGAGACAGAGGAGGAAGCAGGCTCCCTGCTGAGCAGAGAGCTCAATGCGGGGCTGGATCCTAGGATCCCCGGACCATGATCTGAGCCGAAGGCAGAGGCTTTAACCGCCTGAGCCACCCAGGCGCCCCTCCTTTTTTTTTTTTTTTAATCAGAATGTCATATGATTGTTTCTCATTGCTTGAAAAATGCTCTTTTTAATGGTCGCAGGCCTTGTTGTGTGTGTGTACTTTTGAAATTGGAAATTTTGCTTTATTCAAAAGAGACATTTTGAGCAAGATACAGAATATGGTGACTGACTATAGAAAACAGTAGGGGCAAAAGTCTATGGTATCTTCAAGGTTTTAAGCCTCAGAAACTAAAAGAATGGCAGAGCTATGGAAATAAATTGGAAGTCTCATAATAATTTTTTGCGGGGGGTTTCTCATAATAATTTTCATCTTAGGTATGGAAACTGCCATCACAGACACCCATAATGAGATTTTAATGAGGATCCTTGTTCCTGTCAGTTTACATTCTTCCTAAAAGAAGAATTTTTTTTTTAAGATTTTATTTATTTATTTGATAGAGATCACAAGTAGTCAGAGAGGCAGGCAGAGAGAGAAGAGGGGAAGCAGACTCCCTGCTGACCAGAGAGTCTGATGTGGGGCTCGATCCCAGGACCCTGAGATCATGACCTGAGCTGAGGGTAGAGGCTTAACCCACTGAGCAACCCAGGCACCCCTTTTCATAAAATTCTTAAAATCAATAATCTTTCTTCGGTGTTCTTTTTTTTGGGGGGGGGTGGTACAAAACTGATTTTTCAGTTCTTAGCACGTCTTATTTTTCTCTTGTCTTGAAAGTTTTTTTAAAGTACAGTTTCTATTAGAATAAATAAGGCTCATGTTGGTTGTTCATGAATCTTTGAGAGATTAAAGGGAGAGTTTGGTTTTCAAATGTATAAATTGGTACAATTTATAAGCAAGAGGTGAGTGTAACCATTCTGGAGGAAGAGGAATTATCTTTAAAAATGCTTTCCTAGTGCCTCATAATAACATCACCCTTGTTTTATCAATCATTACTGTTTTGTCAGTGATTATACTCATGACTCATATCAGTTAATTTGGTACTTTCTGAAAAATGTATTTAGAAAAGTAATTTTAAAAAGAAAAAAAAAAACACCTTAAACTGAATACAAATGGTACCTTTACTGGAAACGTACACTTTCAGCTTGGATAAGTTACAGTTTGACTTTGCTAGATTCAAATGCTGTGTCTACTACTTCGTGCTCATGTCCAGGTATCTTCTCTAGTATGTATTAACTTTGGAGAAATTTTGTATTTCCTCTCTTTGTTCTGGCGGCATTATAAGGATAGAGATGGGGGAAAGAGTCTTCTGAAATGTACTCCCAGTTTGCTTCCCCTATAACCACCTCTCTTTCAAGTTTACACACTGCCTGAAATTCTTTTTTGCCTTGAACAGTCATCCAGAAACGTATCACCTATGTATGAATCATGAATCCCCATTCTAGCATCTCTTCTTCTCACTGGTATAATCTTAAAACAGGCGTTTGGTATTACGTGGAAAAGACACTAACACTGGAACTCGGAGTTCCAGGTTTTGCTCTCCTACTGGTAACTGAGTGTTCTTGGGCAGATCTCTTAATCTCATTTGTAAATTGAGATTATCTTCAAGGTCCTTCCCAGCTCTAAGAGTCTGTGAATCGTGAAGTATTTACTTTTCAAGGGTAATTATCTCTGGTGAGACTATTAGTCTTTCACATCTTAGCATACATTAATCAGATGATATCTTCCAACAGTATTTGTAAAAACTACTCCCATGTAATAGGATTGGGGGAGAAATTTTAGAATGGAAT